TTCCTGCTGCTTTCCCTCCCTGCAGCCTGGGCAGCCCATGCTGAGCTGGGTTTGGAAACAGCCCCAGGCCGCTGCTTTGCCAAATTTATTTTAGTAACTGTATGTTTGCATATTAAAGGCCTTTACAAGAAAGTCCTTTCCTTAAAGTGGTGGAGGCAGAGTGGGAGCTGGAGCAGCTTCTCCCAGCAGGCAGCAGAGGGGGGGTCTCACACTGAGGAGGGTCTCAGTGGTGGTGGGAGGAAAGTCTTTGGTTCCTCTGGTGTACTGTCCCCGCAGGAGGGATGGGAGGACATCCCCTGCTAACGGAGACAAGCTAATGAAGCAGCCTCATTTCTAAAAGGTGCTGTAGGACCATAACAAATAGCTGGTGAATTTAAGATAATTATTTCCATCGGTTGCTTGGGGCCAAACGAGCTCCTCCATATTCCTGGCTGTGAATTTCCCTTTGTGTGCGGGTGGTAGCTGTCTCTCTGCTTTGATGCTGCCTGCTTGTTGCATTAATGTGGGAGTTACAAAGGGTTCTCCTTTGTTCAGGCACCATCCCTGTCCTTTGCAGGATCCCTGGGAGAGACACTGGCATCACCCTGTAAAGGAGCCTTGTCAAGAGCCTTGTGAACATGTCAGCCTCTTCCCCTGCCTGCAGAGCCCAGCAGAGCGACAGGCACAGGGTCGTGGGCTGCCCCTCGAGTAACACTTCACCCTCTTTCTCTGCAGGGGTCCCAGGCAGTGATTACATCAATGCCAATTACATCGATGGGTATCGGAAGCAGAACGCCTACATTGCCACGCAGGGACCTCTGCCAGAAACCCTCAGCGACTTCTGGAGGATGGTGTGGGAACAGAGAACAGCAACTATAGTCATGATGACCAGGCTGGAGGAGAAGTCCAGGGTACAGTGTGTGCTTCCTCTTTCCTGGAGCTGGTGGTGGGAGCGGGAGAGAGGGGTGGGAGCACTTTACAGCAATAAGGGTGTCCAGGGAGAGGCAGGTCCAGTCACCACTCACTGCTCGCTGCTTGCAAGCACCCCAGCAACAGGTGCCTTGTAAGAATATCCCTGTGGGGCAAAAGGGTGGCAAAACCTCTTGTCACTGTGCTGCTTGTTAACCCCTGTCTTGCTCACGTGTCTGCATGCACACCCATCCTTTCCCCACCTTCATCACTGCCAAAGAGAGAAGGGAAAGCTCTGAGATGGGGGAGTGTTCACCGTCTCTGAAAGCCTGGGGGCTGGGCCCCAGCAGCTCAGAAGCTGCAATGGGTAGGTGGTGTCAGCGGCTTCCTGCAGCCTCACAGTGCCTTGGTGTCTCTGGCGATGCAGAGGAATGGCTGACAGGGTCTCATTGCAATAAGAAGACTAATTTGTGCCTTTTCCAATGACAACATGTATAAATGATCGGTTCATACTGCCAAGATTAGGTATGCTGATGTAATGAATGCAAAGCTGCCTTCAAACTGTGGGGAAGGCACGAGGTGGAGAGGAAGGAACAGGAGCCCGTGCTTAGGGTGTCTCATGACAAGGGCTTTTTCTCAGTCCCTGAAGCAGGAGTTCATAAGCTGTGACTGAAGCGCTCCCATGTCCGGATGCACCCTTTGGGCAAAGCCTGCCCACGCATGAGGCAGCTTCTGCCTCTTGTGATTCAGTTTGTTCCTAAAAGTAAAATTTCAGTGGTGAGCGTTTGTATTTGCAGAATATTTTAGTGTTGCCATGCCAACGGCAGGAGAAGGGGCCGTGTGCTCAAGCTGTGAAGCACTGGTTATTTTTATCCCAATAAGCTCGTTCTTGAGAAGCAGAAACTGTCAAGTTTGGGTTTAGTTAAAACTTTTGCTCATGTGCTCTCCCTCCATTTCCAAGCTTCAGCACCAAAGTGCTCACAGGGTTGTCCTAGCCCACACTGGCTGGAAGGAAGCAGCTGGAACAACTGATCACCATGGCAGAACAGATCTGCTTCTCCTACACCTGCAAAACCAGGCTTGGGTCATGGGCTTCCATGGCTCTACAAATTCCCTACAGCCTGCAGGGAGAAACAGTGCTCATCAGAGATGAGCTGCCTCTAGAGACCCAGCCCTAGGTTTGTGGGGTTTCCCCTTGCGCAGCTCTGCCTGCTCCATCTGACGGCCGCCGTCACCACCCCAGCCCAAACAGAAGGTGATTTAACCTGTCCCATCCTGAGGCCCAGGGCTTGGCACGTGGGCTAAGTGAGGCCAGAAGATGCTGATCCACTACTCTGTGCAGCCGGGGGCTATATGGGGACTTTTTTGTGCCTTCACATTTCAGTGATGGTGCGTGTATCTGAAGCACAAGGAAAAGCCCTTTTCGCTGCCGAGTAAATCAACGCCCAGAGTCCTGACTCTCTTAACTTCTGGGCTGCTTAGTTACGGGAAGGCACTCCAAGGTGTGCGTTTCTCAAAGATAATGGATTTCCTTTGACCTCGCAGACACTTGTCTTTGCCTGAGACACCTCTGCTGTTGAGCCATGTGTTATCTCCACCCAGCACACTCCCTGTCGTGTCGTCCTGCCATCACCTCCTGTGGTGCTGGTTTCTGTCCCAAGCATAGCATGTGTGGTCAGGTTTTTGGTTACAGGACAGGCACTATGAGTCCCAGTCGTGGGCAGGGGGTGACTAGAGCCCTGAGAGAAGCTGCAGGCAGCCTGCCTGACTGGGCATGCTGCCCAGGGGCTCTCGGCCGAGCTGGCCAGCCCTGGAGCACAGCGATCCCTCCCTGACACTGCCTGCCCATGCCCTGCTGGCTCTTTGGCACACCCCCAGCACTAATGAGAAACGGGCAGTTTACTGAGGCACTTCAGGACGGGTAGGTTGCCAAAGGAGGCAGTGGGGAGGCCTGGCCACTCCCGAGTCAAACCAGCCCTGCACAGCAAGGGCTTCCCTGGATGTATTTGTTGTACCCTGTAGGTCCCTCAGGGCACCCAGTCACAGGAGGGCCCTGGTGGGGAGCTGGGACATAGACTTGTAGGAGAATTTTCTCTGTTTTTGTTGTTGTTGTTTTTGGCTTTTCCAGCACCTTCCAAGCCAGAGTGGCTTTCAGCCACCTTCCTGCTCTGCCTTTCCACATGCCCCTTTGGTGATGGCTAGAGCTCACTCAGGAGCACACCTATTTGGGGACCAAGGAAGATCCTGGTCACTGCCCATTGCTCCCAGCTTTTAGGGCAGAGTAAACTGTAAAATAGTTCACTGTTTTACACTCCAGAGCCTCCAGACCTCATCTGATGCAGCCCCTTGTGTCCCTGCAGCTTTGCTGCCCACTGATGTTCACACAGTGCAGGACAGCACTGCTCCAGGCAGTCACACAGTGTTACAGCATTACCCACGGGTGACCTTGCTTGAAAGTCCCCTTGCCCCGGGGCTTCGGCACAGAACTCTCTCCAGCTGTGGAGCCTGGGGTGGGCAGCAGGGCCTCGTGGTGAGTTGCCCGGTGCACAGCAGGCTCTGCCACCTTCCCAAGCTAGCTCCCCAAGTCCCCCTCAGCAGTGCTGTGTGTAGATAAGTCGACCGGGACCAGCAGCAGCTTTGCAGCCTTGTAGGGGTGACACTGCTTTAAAGGGCTCCTGAGCCACAGGGGGGGGAAAATCTTTAAAGAGCATCAGCTTTTATGGTCTGCAATTTCAGCTGGCTTGATGGTCCAAATCATCCTCCGTTTTTCATGTTTTCACAAAGCGAGAGGCACATAAAGGATAGAAATGGCTGGATTGTGCAATTTAGCTGCCTTCAAAGCTTTACAATCAGTTTCAGAATCATTTGGTGGCAGTTCAGAAACACACTGTAGATTAGCTTTCCCGAAGCTGCGAGCGTGGTGTGTCGCAGCCAGGGAGTGTTGCACAGGAGAGGTATTAAAGCAGGATTTCTCCTACCCTGGGCTATCCCCAAGAGCTCAGCAGAATAAGGTCTCCCAGAGCAGCACCGTGGCTTGTTCTGTCCCAGCCCAGAGCACCAAACAACTGTGCCTGGGGCGTGATCTGCCCTGGCACTTGATGTCCGCAGGCAGGGGTGCAAAGAGACTGGTGCTCAAGGGCTCTGGGGAAGAGGGGCCTGGCAGCCACGTCCTGCTCCAGCCCTGTTCCAGCGGTGACATCTGGAACTTGGGAGCGGGGCCAGGAGCAGAGCACAGCTCTCGAGCTGCAGAGAGGTACGGGGCTGCTTTGGGGCACAGGGCACCAAAGGGGAGGGACAGGAGCCACCCAGCAGTGCTGCAACAAATGGCTGTTCAGGACATTACTGTGCTCCTTAAGTTAATGAGAAGCGAGCACTGTGAGAAGAAAACATCTCTTATCTGCTTTAGTGCCACAGTGCATCAGCTTCAGCGTAAAATTTACAGAGCTTGAAAATTGGGCATAAACATTATGGGTAAATTTGGCAGAAAATGTGACTGACTCTTATCTGGTCATGAATAAATAATTTTCAATTACCAGCCCAGGCGCTGCTGTTATCCCACACAGGGAACTCCTCTGAAGTTTGTTCTGTGCTTGAGCACACGTGGCTCTGTGGCACATGGGTGGCAGGAGGAGACTGCTCTCCCCGAGGTGCGGGCTCGGGCACAGGGACATGTTGTGCAGCTCCCCCACAATGGCCCCTGCAAACTGCACTGAGGGAGACACAGCAAGTGGCTGTCCCCAGCGTTTGTCCCCCATTCTGCCCTCCCCCCCTTCAGAGAGGGGTTCCGTCATCCCAGAGCTAGGCAAGGCAAACTCAGGCGGCTGCAGATGCAGCGGCAGCTGCCGCACGCTCGTGAGGATAGGGTCAGCTTAGCTGTGAAATAGGGTTTGTGGCCTTCAAGTTGTTTGCTCTGAAGTTAGTTTATGTAAAATAGTGGGCTGCTCTGTGCTGAGTGAGGAAGAGAAATCTTCTGAGATTTGTGCAGGGCCTGGCATGCTGGGAGCACAGCTCCAAAGCAGCACAGGAGACCCAGGGCAGGAAGGAGGCGGCAGAGCCGCCCTGGGCATGCAGGCACCTGCAGTACCCCATCAGGCAGCCGTGCTTCAGTCACTGGTGCTGAGGCAGGGCTTAATGAGAGCAGACCCCAAAAAAGCAGGGGTAGATGTCTCCCTCTGACCCCAGGTTGCCACACTCCAGCAGGCAGAGTGCGAGATGAGGACTCTTAGCTCTCACAAGCCCCACCTTGCATAAAGTGCCTTCAATTAAAAGGCAGAACTTCATTGATTTCTAATTAAGCCTCTTGTTTCCCTTCCCACACATTCCCCTGTAAACATGCTCAGCTAATAATTAAGTTTACTACTCCTTGACAAGCACAGATGATCTTCCATTCACTCCTCTCTCCTAGGGCGGGAAACCATTTTCTGTGCAGTGCACACGAGTGGGAATGAAGTCTTCCTCCTGTCAGCCAGGCACTGTGGCTCCGCGGGACAGGGGAGCTGGGTGCCAGATGAAATAGGGATGCTCAGGGTGCCAAATTAAATAGGGAGCTTGAGGCTGGAGAGAACAAAACCGGAGGAGTAGTTTGCAAACAGTGAGCTGTGAAGAGGAGGAGGAGGAGGGCATCAGCAGGTGGGCAGGGAGGGATGCACAGGGAGATGAAGAGGGCAGAGGGATGGTGCCCTGGGGATGTGGTAGGGCTCTCTGCCAAGTAGGCTGCAGCAGGAGCTGTGACCAGTAGCTCAAAGAGCTCTCTGGCTGTAGAGTTGGGTGGGGGAGAGAAGGGATGCTGCAGGACAGGGGGGTATGTAGAGAGCAGCAGTGTTTTTGTGGTGGGACAGTGCTGTCTGCTGAAGGGATGGTTTGGCCCCAGTCTGTGTCTTCACACAGAGGGAGACCAGGTTTTGTCTGTGTCTGAGCTGGTGTCTGTGCCTTGCTGCAGAGCAGGTTGGCATCTCTCAGGGATGCTCAATGCACCTGAGCCTACAGCAGGAAGGGTGTCAGGGTCAGCCCCGTGGACTTTCACCAGTGTGGTTTGCTGCCTGGGGGCCACACTGGCAGGGGCACCCTGGGGACTACAGATATTATGGGGAAAGGTAATGCCTGCTGATGAATTGTTGTGTACCATGCTGGACTCAGAGCTATGTCCTGTCTCAGCTCAGTGCTGTGGGTAGAGCACTTTGGGCTGGGGTATCAAAGAGCTGATGCAGATACAGGCTGCATCTCCCACAACTCAGCTGCCTTTCAAGCAGAGGCTTCCCCTGCCCTGCTTCACCAGCTTTCCTCCCACTGACCCACAGCTGATGACCTTCTCTCCATCCAGGCAAATCTCAGGCAGGAGGATGTGCCAAGGACAGCTCCAAAGACTCCCATCTTCACAAACAGGAGGCAGAGACAAAAAATTACAGCAGGCCCACATCACTGCCAGCACTTGCTGCGCACTGTCTTCATAACTGGTGCTTCTCTTGCTGCTGTGTCTGGTGGCCTGGTCCCCTTCACTGCTTCCCACTAGTGGCTCCAGGGGAAAAAAAATAAATCCCTCTTTGAATGTGAATCAGGTGGAAAGGAGCCCAGGGTGTGCTGCCTTTCTGGTGGGGACTGGGACACTCCAGAAGATGGAGATCTGGGTGTTTGGAGCTCCCTGTGCAGCGACTCTTTTCCGTCTTTACCCTTTGAAGGGCACAGCCCTGCTCCTCACCCCAGATGCCTCAGCCAGTGCCAAGCACTGACCCGTTATCCTCTCTTTTTTTTTGAAGGGTGATCAGTACTGGCCAAGCCGGGGTACGGAAACCTACGGGATGATCCAGGTGACCCTCCTGGACACGGTGGAACTGGCGACCTACACTGTCCGCACCTTTGCGCTGTACAAGGTAGGGTGCCAGGGAGGCTGCTCCCGCCCCGGGGAACGCAGAGCCCCCCCACCCTGGGGAATGCAGAGACCCCCG